GGGGTGGGGTTGAGGGAGGGAGGGGTGAAGGGGTTGCCATAAAATGGGTGGGGGGGGTTGGGCTGGGTGGGGCAGGCGCAGGGGCCCCAGCTGAAACATGCACGGCGCAAGACAGAGCCATTCCTCTGCTTCGTGTGGGCGCCCCGAAGCAAGGCCCGCGCAGCAGCAGGCGCAAGAGGCTTGCGCCGGCGGCCGGGCAGGCGAGGCGGTTGGTTTGCGGTTTGTGATGAATTCAAGCAAATCCTCAACCCTTAAACCCTAAAATCTAAACCCTGATGTTTTCTCACTTGGCCTCGTCCAGTGTCATGTTTGTGTCGCGGGCGGCGCCGTAGGCCTTGGCGGTGATCTGGGGGTTGGTGGCGGTGGTGGTGATTGGTGATGGTGAGGGTGAGGGCAGGAGTTTGGGTTTTGCGGACAACGGGAAGGAGGCGAGCAGGTGCCCGCAGGGGCCAGGCCGGCGCGCCGACCGTCGCGTGCGCCGCGTCGCCACGCCCTGCGCTCTGTGCGAGGGTCATACGCCAACGCAAGATTGCGTGCGCACACAAAAGCGCGAGCACACGCACCAGTGCGCAATCCAGGCCCCATGCACTTGTGTTCAAAAGTGACATAAGGTGCCGCGCACAACCCAAATCCGTCCGCCACCCACCCATACACACACACACACACACACACACACACACACACGCACGCACGCACGCACGCACACACACGCACGTGCGCACCCATCCACCCACACCCCTGCACACACGCCTACACACCCACACACTGACACACATCCACAACCTCCCCCCCCCACACACACACACACCCACACAAGCGCCAACCTGCAGAAACGCGGGGTCAATCTTGCCGCTGGAGGCCAGCTCCTCCATCTTCTTGTCAGCCTCCTCTATGCTGCTGATCTGATGACAAAAGAGGGCAAGAGGTATGGGTGGGTGCGGGTGAGGGGATCAGGTCAGGCTGCCATCAGAGACCAGGAGGGGAAAGAGAGCGGCCAACATGGGCGTGGGGCGCAGTCCACTGAGCGGCTCTGGCCGCCAGACGTGACATGTTCACACATGTCAATCGGGGACCCCGCTGCCTCGTCCAGCAATGATACAATAGTGGTTTGCTCCTCCATCGGACGGACGCCACACCTCGTCCGCTGCCCCAAGAGGGGACGAGTGGATTCCCGCAAATCGACCCAAAAGACTCCCCCAGCTGCCGCCTCCAGCTCCCAGCGCTCAACCCCCTTTGCGCCGGCGACCTCGCTCCTCCCGCCCAGACCCGGACAACACATGGATATAAAACTCAATAAAGCCACGGCCTCACCGATGACAGCAGGTCCCTGTAGACCTCCGCCGCCGCCTCCAGCTTCTCAGGCTCAGCCTCAACGCTGTCAAAGGCCGTCACAAGCGCCAGCAGACGCGCGTTGACAGCCACAAGCTGCTCCTTGCGGGCTGCCCGGGGGGGGGGGCGATTGTGTGTGTGTGTGTGTGTGTGTGTGTGTGTGTGTGTGTGTGTGTGTGTGTGTG